ACAGAATAAGAGCACGAAGTTAGTTGACCACTCGCGAATTGACGAATGAGTACCAAAAACTAACTGATAAATCGATTGTGACTGACATATAGGGTGCATTCGAAACTACGTATGGTTCTTACATGTAAATAACACATACGAACGTAGTTCACCACCATTTTGAATCTCTTACTCGACTTAATAAGTCGAATTTTTAAAATGGGGAAATTTTTCCGGGATAGCAGCCTATTCTATTTCATTTCTGACATATTATACGATTAAGCCCCCGATTAAAGTTCAGTGTCCAATAAGCTCAAAGTTCCCTTCGACCCGACATTTAATTCAGAAGGGGTCGCATTTGAATAGCTTTTCAAAACTCATAGAACCTGTTTGCTTATTGCTGAAACCAAACATTGACACATAATTACATACCACAACCAGGCCACGCTATCAAAAAACGGGTCCTACACATTTGATTGAGTAAAAATATAATTATTTTTCCAGTTGTTATTAGTTGTTATTACTAGCTCTCTATATATATATGCCTAAAGTTTATGATTGTATTATTTGCTTGATAACGGTGAGAGAACACTCATTGAAACGTCGCAGTCAATAAATGTAGTAATTGTATGTCCATAAAGTTTGTTTTCCTTAAAAAAATAATCTTATTAGAACGAGACTGTGGTAGAAGATTAGTTAGATTACAATGGAGACGAAAAATATCAGGCAACAAAATTGTTATCTGATTTTAATTAGACAGGAATCGAACCCCTTTTAAATTATAAAAACCTCCCATAATCAATACACACTGGTCTTTTCAGGCGAGACAACTACGTCCGGGGGAGATGGTAAGTTTTTCATTATATTCAAATTATGACTTAAAATTTGGCTAAATGAAGTTTTACGTTAAACTTTCTATACCTGATTGATTTAGATTATAAAAAAGTATATAGAAAGTGAAATTTCCATCGTTAGAGGTTTTTTTTTTGAAGGGATTATGCGATTTTCGTGCAGTTCTTGTATTTCTGAAGACTGTTTTATTTACCATATTCAAGGCCCAAATCAACTCCCAAAAATGGCGCACCATGTCCGTTAACAATCTGATTAATTTAATTTCAATTTATTACAGCTATCACCGAATCAGGCTCGGATGGTAAGTCTCTTAGCTTATATTTCTTATCATTCTAATATTAAAGAGTGTAAACATTTTTATTTTCATCAACGGTCCAATTTTTTGACTGAGGCCCGTTCCACAAACGTTCAACAATTTACACTTGAGATAAGTTGGATTTTAAGATTTTGACCGAATCTGGCATAGAACTGAACATTCCCGCATAACTTTTTATACTAAGAATCCGACGCCATGTTCATCTATAATTAAAAATGGATGTGTGAGTTTCCGTGCAATTGCATCTATCTATTAATATTTCCCGAAACTAAGCGTCTGACCTAGTTACCAGAATAAGAGCGCGAAGTTAGTTGACCACTCGCGAATTGACGAATGAGTACCAAAAACTAACTGGTAAATCGATTGTGACTCTGATATATAGGGTGCATTCGAAACTACGTATGGTTCTTACATGTAAATAACACATACGAACGTAGTTCACCACCATTTTGAATCTCTACCTCGACTTAATAAGTCGAATTTTTAAAAAGGTTATAATATTTCAACCAATCCTTCAAGTCACATTTAAAGATTTAGAAATGGCTTTAAATGTGATTTGAAGGCTTTATTGAAATTTTATAGCCTTTTTAAAAAATTTAGTTATTAAGTCGAGACAGTAATCAAAATGGCTGTGAACTACGTTCGTGTTTGTTATTTCCACCATACGTAGTTTCGTATGACTTTGGGTGCAATCATCAGTTTTTTTGTCCTGTTTGGCTGATTAGAGTTTACGCTTTCATATCGGGTTTTCTTGAAGCTGCATAAAATAAAGCAGCCAATAAAAAAAAAAACATACACATGTGATTTTAAGGTTTAGTTGAAACAATTACCTCCTCTAGAAAAATCGACCGGTTTTGTCGGACGTAGTGGTATTAATGTCGGTTAAATGGTGTTCATGTCAGTTTCCATATAAAATGTAATGACGACATGTTGAGTTTGAGTTCCAGTCTTATTCTACTATGTCCTATAAATTCTTTTTTTTTTCTTCAGATAATGAAACAACCACTAGCACATTAACAACAACTACCCTACGTGAGTATCCAAAATGAAATAAGGTGGAGTGTTACATCTTATCTTTACAGTGCGCAATGGGGAAATTTTTTCCGGGATAGCAGCCTATTCTATTTCATTTCTGACATATTACACGATTAAGCCCCCGATTAAAGTTCAGTGTCGAATTAGCTCAAAGTTCCCTTCAACCCGACATTTAATTCAGAAGAGACCGCATTTAAATACATTTTCTGTATTCGAAGAACGTAATTGCTTATTGGAGAAACAAACCATTGACGCACGATTACACAACCGTATTCCCTATACACGAGAATAAAGTTGGATTATGGGCCAGACCTAGGAAACCTAAACTCTTGATAAATCAAAACGACCCATATATCTTTTAATATTTCAGCTAGCGCAATTTATGATACTTCAGTGGAAGTAGAGATTGCCGACAAGCTCACTGGCGGTAAGATGACATTTTATTGTAAATTTGCCTTGTCCAATGAAAGTTTGTGGTACAAAGTCATTTGGCAGATCGCCGACAGCGTGATGACGCCATTGGGGCCATTCAATTCCGACGTCAGAGAGAAGTCAAAATTATTGGAAACCAGCCTTACTGAAACAACGGCAGGCTTTCAGGTAAATTATCAAATTTTTGTCAAGAAGTCTGCCATCTTAACAATGTCAAGCTACTGCGTCTAATACCTCGACGGCAATAGCCACCTTTCTTGTTAATAGAAGTTTGTAAATGCAGCGCTTTCATCGGATTGTGCGCATGCAAATACAAAAGTAGATATATTGAACTCGGTTGAAATCTAATCACCGATATTGAAAGGGTTAACAAGATAAGTGCTAACCTGGATTATACTTCAACTCACTATATGACACAAAAGTTTTTAAGTAACTTGCTAATGGAGTTGCCAATTAAACATTTTAAAGATAACATACTCAAATTTTATTAGTTAAAAAATTCCCGGGGGAGGAGCCCCAACCGTCTTCAGTCCACGGCCCCCTCTCATCTAGTTGAGCCACCACATTCACGTCCACGTCACGTGGGTTTATTCATATACCCCAGAACCCAACTTGAATCACAAATAGGAGAAAAATTGTATGACTGGTTCGAACCCTAAACCAAAGGTAAGCAAGCAAACAACTGTTTTGGATACTAATTCCATAATCAGGACCAAGTAAGCAAACTCACTAGAAGTGGATTTTACAACATATGGTTATTTTTCAGATACGTTGTGCCTACCAAGTCGCCTACACTGAAGATGGCACCTATAGTTCCGAGACGACGAGCCCCCAGAAATTCGTCGGCATAGAGGTAAGTAATTATTTAAGGATTGAGGAACACCCCGAATTGTACTTAAAAAATAGATTCGTATACGCTTTTGCCTCAAAATTTGTGTCAGAATGCACCGTATCGTTCCAGTTTCTCCAAAATTTTATTGAGAGAACCCTCTCAGGCGCTCCCTGAGAGACTTACGCCTATGACGCCTCCAATAAGTTGTCGCCTTTTGAATTCAGCCTCAGATGGTTAGTTGGCCCCTAGTTAAGTCAGTCTTCCCCCTATTTGTACCCTCAGTCTCAAGAGGCTGACGCCCCCACTGATGCTATTCTATGTCATTTTAGATCCTGTCCACAGACGTATCTGTAAGCGATGGCGGAAAGAGCAACATCACCCTTCAGGCTACTGCCCCTATTGGATGTAAATCAGGAGAGACGTGTTCCTTAGGGATCAATATTTACAATAAAGATTACTCTAGTTCTTGTTACAAACCAACTACTACCTTCTCCGAATGTCAGGTGCAACTCAAAGCAGACGAATGGAACAAACCGTTCAACTTGTCGGTAACATCAGGATTGGCCTACCGGTACGGCACCCGGACCAATCTTAATACCATCAAACTACAGACGCAATCCGGTTTCTCGTCGCACACTATGTGGCAGGAGTATAATTTGGGCACTGTTCAAGTAAGGCTTTCGTTTTTGTATTATTATATGAATCTAATATCTATGCGCCTGGCAAAGTCGTAGCCCAACTGTCTTCGGCAGAAGAATGTACATCGATGCAAACTAATTTCAGACACTGGCACATCGAACGCAATGGACAACAAACTCGGGAGAAAAATGCCTCCTTTCGATAGTGAATAGGGCGTCACAACTTTTAAAGGGGGCCAACAGGTATCGTTTGCCTTTCAATAAGTGGGGCTCTTTGGGAGGGGGGGGGCGGGCATAGAAACGCCTGTGCTGCTTTTATAAGCGACTCTCTTCCCTCTTTCGACAGTGGCACCCCGGCTATACTATATGCCACTCTCTTTTTTTGATACAGTGGCCCTTATAATAATAGGGACAGATTCGCCATTTTGAAGGGTTGATTTTGATCTTGAATACATGTAAATAGTCTCAAACCCAGAATTTAGCTTTCTATGTCTTTTCTATATAACATGACAAAGTCTCAAGAAAAGACAACTCGTCTTTTTAACTTTCAAACGTGGAAAATTCTGGACACACGTGGATTTTAAGGCCCAAATTTCGCCTGTGGTAGCTGTGAACACTATCACTGATTAGATAAGCAAAGAAATTCCTGTTTCTGAGACTATGGTACGATTTGTCAAACGAGTGGTCAGCCTATCCCTTTCATAAATGGCCCATCGTGAAAGTTCCATGAGTGTTCTACCGGAAATTACCGAAAGTTGTCGAATGTATAACGAGTTTCATGTTGTTGCAGGTTAGTGTAACACAGAGTACGTCTCAGACACAAGGAAAATATTGTTATGCGGTTTGTGATCCCCATATGAGGACTTTTGAACACGAGTAAGTATAATATGCCTGTTTACCTGCTATTCAAAACCTTTTACTTGTTTTGGTTTTAATTGTTTATATAATATTTATTTCTCATGGTAAAATTCCACCATTACGACAGATGTTTTGAGAAACGGGAATAGTTTTACCAGTGAATGTACTGCACTTTTTCTAATGCATTTAAGTTGTCCGGTGGGTTTTAAATCCAAACCGCCCTATCGCCCCAACCGCTAATAAAAATTAGATTAGTAAAGGATCTCAGATTTCATACAACGAAACAAAACATTTTCAGTTCGGCAAAATTTTTGGTCATGTCAATATTACGGAATTTAGAAAAAAAAAATAACAAATCAATAAATGCTTGTCTGTTTCGTTTCATTTTTAAAAAATCTGGATTCCATAATATTGCCGTCACCAAACATTCTGCCAAATTATTTTAGCGCAAATTCCTATTAGCGGTAGGGGCGGTTGGGATTTAAACCCCACCTTTGTAGGCTATTTATTAATGGGACTCATTAAAAAGGGGCGTGGTGGGAAATGCTAGTTTACAAAATTACTGTTCATATTTCAGTTATTACGAGCATCAGTATTTCGGGCAATATACTCTTTATGAGAACAAGGAATGGAAGCAAGAGGTAAGCGTTTGATTCATGCTTTAAAAAGTGCGCCTCACTTCAATTCAAGAACTCATCTGAGACGAACGCAGCAAATATCGAACGCCCCAAACCAAGTTTTTCTATTACATAATACAAGAAATCGATAAAATAACTTACCGATGCAACAGGATCACCATTGCATTGCTAAGAAAATAGGCACGGGATGATCTCGGCGTTCTAATTTCACTTATAAAAATAATATAGTCCACACTTTATAAAGTTCACACTCCATCAAAAACTAGTTTACTTTTTCCTTTCGCATTGGTCATGTGATATGGGCGTCTAATTTTATCGTGAAGGGGGGTATTGGTGCGTCTTAACCACGTGCTATGCTATCCCCCCTGTGATAAAATGCGACCGTCGAGAACTAGACACCGTTTTCATTATAGCCCTGTCACACCGGAAAGGCGTCTTTACTGAGATGCTAAGCGTGTATTAGCGTATAGAAGGCAACAGAAGTCGTACGGCAAGCGTCGTAGCATCTCCATGAACGCAATAAAAGGGAAATGCACCCAGCCCATAGATTTTATTAGAAACGCGCCTTGGGAATGCAATATGTTTACATTACTTAGTGGTTTGAGTGCGATAGTTTCAGAATTAAAAAAAAATTATGGAACTTTTTCTCGCGTTTTCACTGTCCTGGCATAATTTCCCTCATTGCACTCTGCATGGCGTTGACGTCTTCATTAGCCCAAATAGGTGCAGACGTGTAGGACGTTAAAACTCCATTCATTTAATTTAATTTCATGATCTTCCGACCGCATCGGTAAGCTGAAAGCTGCGAAAACAATAGAGACTGCATTTTGCCATAACCGTTGATAATATTTTACAGATCCAGGTCAAAACAGAGCCATGTTTTAGTTGGAGAGCGAATGGTGGTCCTCCATATTGTATTTGTGGTCTGGCCATACGAGCCGGTAAAGAAGTTTACATTATGGATAAGTGTTCTCCAAGAAGATACTGGAGAATCAAGTACGCCCAATGTGATCCGACCAGAAGTGGCCTCATTAATGTGGTGCGACTAGGCTCGCAGTACTCGGTAATATTACTTCAATATATATCACCTAATCACATTACAGCGAGCTAAAACTAAGAGATTGTACAATGGTAGTTTTCTATAATCAGAATAGGAATACAACCTATCAAACTATCGTGTCCACAGTCCACGATAGCTTGATAGGTTCTAATCCTATTCCGACCATAAAAAAACTACCAGTATGTCACGCAATCTACTAGCTAGTTGGACACGATAGCTTGATAGGTTCTAATCCTATTCCGACCATACAAAACTACCAGTATGCCACGCTATCTACTAGCTACTTCGACACGATAGTTTGATAGGTTATAATCCTATTCCGACCATAGAAAACTACCAGTATGTCACGCTATCTACTAGCTAGTTGGACACGATAGTTTGATAGGTTCTAATCCTATTCCGACCATAAAAAACTACCAGTATGTCACGCAATCTACTAGGTAGTTCGACACGATAGTTTGATAGGTTCTAATCCTATTCCGACCATACAAACCTACCAGTATGTCACGCAATCTACTAGCTAGTTGGACACGATAGTTTGATAGGTTCTAATCCTATTCCGACCATACAAAACTACCAGTATATCACGCAATCTACTAGCTAGTTCGACACGATAGTTTGATAGGTTCCAATCCTATTCCGACCATACAAAACTACCAGTATGTCACGCAATCTACTAGCTAGTTCGACACGATAGTTTGATAGGTTCTAATCCTATTCCGACCATACAAAGCTACCAGTATATCACGCAATCTACTAGATAGTTGGACACGATAGTTTGATAGGTTCTAATCCTATTCCGATCATAAAAAACTACCAGTATGTCACGCAATCTACTAGCTAGTGCGACACGATAGTTTGATAAGTTCTAATCCTATTCCGACCATACAAAACTACCAGTATGTCACGCAATCTACTAGCTAGTTGGACACGATAGCTTGATAGGTTCTAATCCTATTCCGACCATACAAAACTACCAGTATGTCACGCAATCTACTAGCTAGTTGGACAAGATAGCTTGATAGGTTCTAATCCTATTCCGACCATACAAAACTACCAGTATGTCACGCAATCTACTAGCTAGTTGGACACGATCGTTTGATAGGTTCTAATCCTATTCCGACCATACAAAACTACCAGTATGTCACGCTATCTACTAGCTAGTTGGACACGATAGTTTGATAGGTTCTAATCCTATTCCGACCATAAAAAACTACCAGTATGTCACGCTATCTACTAGCTAGTTCGACACGATAGTTTGATAGGTTCTAATCCTATTCCGACCATAAAAAACTACCAGTATGTCACGCTATCTACTAGCTAGTTCGACACGATGATCAGAGTGAAACTAGAGCTTATATAACAAAAAATGCATGTATTTTCTGTATTGTAGATAACATTACCAAGTGGTACGGTCGTGAAAACCAATCTGTACACGTATTTTAAATTCTTAAACCTCTACGTGTATCCCTCCGAGGGCGACGTAAATAATGCCGATGGGCTGTGTGGTCGAGTCGGGGATCCAGGATTTTTTCATCGGAATGGGACGGAAGAAGCGTTGTACAGGTGGTATGGAATGTATGACTACTCCGAGTCTTGGAGGTACAGTACATATTTTATATATAGACGATAGGGTAAAAAGCCGACACCGTACTGAATATGGAAAACATTGATTTTGACAGCAGAATTTAACTTTCAGAAGAATTCCATCCCATAAGTTTAAAGCAGACGACAATCATCGATCATCATCATCATCATCATCATCATCTTATAGTATTGTTCTTTGTCTATAATAATAATAATCATCATCATCATTTTATTTTGTTGCTCTCTATGTTGTAGTGTCAAGGGTGACGTTTTGGATCTTTTCTCGGAAGACGACAGAAAGAACCTAGATTCAATTGGAAACTCAATTTTCCAGTGTAAATGTGCGAAGGATCCGAGTGGACAAAGTCAAGTGGTGTGCGACAAGGTTGACTCTTCCGATTGTACCTTTTATTTTGGCCGAGCGCGAAAAGTCGACGATTGCAAGATCAAACCCAGTTCACTAAATAGGAAGAAACGATCGATACAGCAAGCCGTAAAGAAAACTGAACAAAAAAATATACAACATACAATTGTAAAAAGGGTAGGTTAGAAAATCATTTTAGGGGAGAGGGGTGTATAATCCGAATGATTTCAAGATGGTTCTTTCTCCATTCGGCTCGACCTTCGCCAAACAACATTCTAGTCCCAATGTAAAACGACTGGATACACTGTCTTTTGCCCCCAATCTCCATTTGGCTCGACCTTCGCCAATGTTCGTTTGTCTCCTTGAGTTGAACAGCATTCTAGTCCCCATGTAAAACGACTAGATACACTGTCTTGTGCCCCCAATCTCCATTTGGCTCGACCTTCGCTAATGTTCGTTTGTCTCCTTGAGTTGAAAAGCATTCTAGTCCCCATGTAAAACGACTGGATACACTGCATGTCTTCTGCCCCCAATCTCTATTCGGCTCGTCCTTCGCCAATATTCGTTAGTTTCCGTGCGTTGAACAGCAATCTAGTCAAGTAAAACGACTGCATGGATACACAGTCTTCTACCTTCAGTGGCCTTGTGTCCAAACAGGCGCAGAACAGTATTACAGGACGTAAACTGCATTTCATTTTCTTTCCTCTACGTTTTTTCAAGGCTGCTGCTGCTGATGAGTACGCTGGTAACTGGACCGAAGCCACGGCCACTGCTTATTGTGACAATTTATTCACCAACTCTAGTGCTGTTCAAGCTTGTAAAGATGTTCCAGGGGTCGATTTGGAAAGTCCCAAAAATAATTGCATAGTGGACATTAAGGTATTTTGTTTTTTTGTTTGCAAGCAATGAGATTTTGTTAATTTGCCTTATTATTCGACTTGTCAGCTGGTAGAGCTCACCTGTAACCATCCGTATAATTTAACACTCTCAAATTAAAGGTACAGTGCGTCATTTGCGGGTGGAGGGGGAAGGAGTGATTTGAATATTAGTAAATAGTCTTCTGAAGTACTAGAAATGTATGAAAATCGCATAATTTCTTCAAAAATATCTCAAACTAGGAATAAAACACACTCTTTCTAACGATGTATTTTCTATGTATAGCTTATACATGCACTCATGTTGTTAACGTTCAAACTTCAAAATTTTGGACACACATGGATATGAAGACACAAATTTTGACGGTGAGCTGTGAACACTATTACTGATTGGTTTAGCGAAATAATTCCCTTTTCTGAGACTTAGCTACGATTGGTTAAAAGAAATGGCGTAGCTCTCCCTTTAAAAAAAAGAAGGCGTAATTCGTTCGGCCCCTTCACTCTTGCCTTCATTCCACATTTTAATATCAGCCATTCATTTATTACAGCTTGAAGGCAGTACTTCGTTTGCTCTGACTGCCATTGAAACCATCAAAAACAAATGTTTCAAAGAAGTCGGTCAGAATTCGTCCTTACAGAACTCAACAGATGGATCTGGTTCCATATTGGATCAGATCAAAAATGTCGCATGTCCATTCGAATGTAGTGGACATGGTTCCTGCCAAAACGGTGAGTGGTGAATTGGATTTCGGGGAAGGGAGGGTTTGATTCTCCCAAATTTTCTTCGTGTGTCTAACGGAAATCTTTCGATGTCATGCAGTGTTCAATGAGGGGAATTTGCAGGAACAGCGACTATTTTAACGTGTAGCACTGCTTTCAGTGTGTTGTCGAATATATAACCAGTCTTTTATTCTTGAATGTTTATGTGTATTTAGTGCTTGTTTGGAGACCCAAAACACCCATTGCCTTTTGGGTACATGGGTATCATATAATCTCGAAACCCATAATGTCAGTGTTCTTTTGGGTACATGGGTATCACATAATCTAGAAACCCTTTTTGGGTACATGGGTATCACATAATCTAGAAACCCATTTTGGGTACATGGGTATCACATAATCATAATCTAGAAACCCATTTTGGGTACATGGGTATCACATAATCTAGAAACCCATTTTGGGTACATGGGTATCACATAATCTAGAAACCCATTTTGGGTACATGGTATCACATAATCTAGAAACCCATTTTGGGTACATGGTATCACATAATCTAGAAACCCATTTTGGGTACATGGTATCACATAATCTAGAAACCCATTTTGGGTACATGGTATCACATAATCTAGAAACCCATTTTGGATACATGGAATCACATAATCTAGAAACCCATAACGTCAGTGTTCTTTTAACGAACATCAGTCTAATTAATAGAAGCATTAGACGCCGAATGCATCCTTTGTTCGATTCATAAAATCCAAGCGCTGGAGAGGACAGAAATTTGATTGGCTGGAGGTATCATCAAACTGACGAATGTTCAAGAAGGCCGTCTTTAGATTCTAACTGAAGTGGCTGTATTAAAAGTAAAACCTAATGAAAAACTGGAACGAAAGTTTGGTCTAGTTTTGATTTATTAAGTTTTGCTTATCAGTATTGACTCATAGCGTCCATTTGATTTTCTAGGCACATGTGTTTGCGATGCAGATTTTGACTCCGACGACTGTTCAATTGATCTAAAGGAACCTCCAATTGGGGTGGTAGAGTACGGAGACGGCGAGGGAGAATGTGATTTGGGTAGTTGTACGGCAATATCAGTTTCTGGTGGCCCCTTCATTGAGGGCGGCTCTGCTAAATGTAAAGTTATATCGAAAACGGTTAGTTGACCTATCTACGTTTTTTTTCATGGGTGGGACTTCCGAAAGCACAGGTCGCGCTGCGGATGGAAGATATCTTTGTGTCTTCAAGGCATACGGCAGTCCATTTGCTGTACCGAGTATGCATTAAATATATTGTTTCCAAAATACAATACTTAGTTTAATGTATTGATACTTAGTTTTATGGATTTATTGTATTATAGAGGGATTCTGTTGTATAGTTATGACACCAGGTAAGTCCACTGATGAAGAAGATTCATTTGGCCACGATTACAAATTTCAATTTTTTTGTCATCCTAAGAGGTACCATACCTTACATTATTACTTCTATTTTCCAGTTGATGCCTAACGGGAATATAACTGACAAAGACAGCATGACTATAGATGCCACTATAATATCAATTGGAGAAGTTTCGTGTCCGTTGCCACCCTCCAGACGAAGGAAGAGGGCGGCTGGTGACCCGGAAATGGAAGAGGTTACAGTATACGAAGTGTCTGTCAGCAATGGCGGTTCATACAGCGAAAGTAACCTGATAATAGCCCGCCATGTTGACTGTCATGAGTGTGACGTCAATTCTACTTCCGTTTCCTGTACATATACAGTTAGTAATCTACTTAATGCTTGTTCGTGCTATGGCCCTCTCCTTGGGACTGGTCTTATTTTTGAAGTGAAGCCCTCTTAATGCTAAAATCCATCTCAGGCCCTCTCAAATGAGTTGGCTTCTAACTTCAAAATGCCTTTTGTTAGTCTCGAATATATGGGTGTCTCTGCTGAAACTATTTGCGCGAAATCATATCTGCCATTCTTTTTAAACGTCTGCCCGTGGACTTGGTTCAGTCAGTTCATATGGTAGTTGAACCACTGAGTTTTAGTTGAACCACTGAGTTTTAGTTGAACCACTGAGTTTTAGTTGAACCACTGTTCCACCAAGTTATCTGTCTAACTTAGCTATTTTTGTATTTGTATCCAACAGGGATGTTATTCCGAGGGTCAATGTTACAAGAAAGATCAGAAACTAAGTCGGAGCGATTGTTTCACCTGTGATATTAAAAATGGCGAACCTATTTGGATTAAATCCACCGCTGGTAGGTTAACTTCACTACAACAATCAGTTTGAAAATTAATGGATTCGTTAAAAAAAAAAAGATTTTCATATCATGATAGCTTTAAGATCAAAACACTACCATATTGGTATTTCAAACAGTCCTAGGAATAAGACTGTTTGTCAATAGAAAATAATATTTGGCAAATGGAAATATATGCTAAAATTTAAAACTAAACCAAAAATCGGAAGCATCATAACTTGTTCTTCAAAAGAAGAGTTATTGCCAGGGAGAAAGTGGGAAAGATTCTACGGCTGTTGTCATATTCTACCACGTGACGTATTTTGGTGGAGTGCAGGTTCAGCATGATAAATGATGTACACAAAAAAAACCTTGGTTCTCTAAGATTACTGACCGAGACGAACAATATACGACTGAAATTCACGTCATTCAAACTGGATGAACAGTCGGCCCAAGGGTCACATTGAACTATCTTGATATGTGGAGTATGATTTTATATTCAATCATAGTTAATCGTTGAATATATTTTTTCGAGTGAAATTGGGAGGAATAGATTTTGAAGAACTCTTTCCGGGGGGAATGAGGTGTCCCTTTCATTACCAGAGGCATTAGAAATATCATGTTCTTGAAAAACATAATGTGTATCTAATTTTAGCCACGGGCCATTGTGTGATTTAAATAAATGATGACGCATTCAAAGAATTTATTTTCTTTCAGACACAAATTGTACCATCTATATTGAGCCAGCTACTGCAGAAGATAACTTACTGTGGGTTATTGGGGCTGTATTAGGAGCCGTGGTCCTGATAGTTATAATTGTTATAATAGTTGTGGTGGTAATCAAAAAGAAGTAAGTGCACACACCTTAAAGGGACAGATTCGCCATCCGTTTGACTAATCGTACTTTAGTCTCAGAAAGGGGAAATGTTTAGCTAAGCTAATCAATAATAGTGTTTTGAGCTAAAGGGAAACTCGCTATTTTGGGGTTCGATTTTAATCTTGAATATATATATATATGTGTAATAGTCTTCAGAAGTACTAGAAATAGATGATAATGCTTATTCTGGTTTTTGCAATCGGCGTTCTGTCGAAGAGTCCACCTTGTTAATGACATCTATTTGGTGATAGATTTCTCAACAAAGCTCGACGTGTCGATCTGCCTGTAAACCACCAATTTTGCCAACTTGTTGTATATTTTCAGGAACAAGAGACCTATTACTCCGATCCTTCAGGGAGAGTAAAACAGTGGAATCTCCGTGTGGGTGATGTATACGAACAACAACACTGGGCTTTGCGATTGTTTATACTTGTATGATCATGCACAGTAATAGTGACTTGACAACTTCATTTAGGCGTCTTAAAGGGACAGATGTGGCATTTCCGCAGATTGATATGGACCTTGAATATATGCAAATAAGTCTCCAGAACTACTAAAACTGTACGAAAATCGCATCATTTTTTTTTTTAAATATGGGGTTTACGGGTTGAAGTTGAATATATTGTTGATATGGTCTTCAGCCGCATCTGTCCCTTTAACGTAAATGTAAGGCACTTCTCTATAACCGTTCTACACTAAAATTTATTTCTTATGACGCTTTCGAAGAAAGTTGAGGATTTTCAAAAATTAATTTTTTTATTCTTCATGGTAGCTTTAATAAGCCTTCAAAAGGTCTCCTTAGATATGAATATCTTTTTTGAATTCATTGGCAGCTATCATTTAAAAGTGATACGGGTAAGGTTCGGCTGGCCCTTCACCGTTTGACGATATCATTGTGGTATCTGAAAGAAGCACTTGTATAGATCAAAGATTGTCTCGATCATAGTTATTTTTTAAAAAGTCCGGTGTTCTTCCAAATAATGCGGGATTCGTGACGTAACTGGTAACCGAAATTTTTCACTGTTTTAAGAAACTGAAAATGGAAGCTGGTTTCGTCTATATATATAAGTGCTACTGGTGGGGCATGTCTGGCCGTGTACCGTTTGACGATATCTTTACGGAATCTGATAGAATCACTTTTTTATGCTGAAAAAGGACACTTTCAAATGAAGATAATAAAGCGTTATAAGGTTGGATAAGACGAGTTACGGTTACGAATTATCGATGGATAATCGTGCACGTATCTTGTCTGGACCCGTACCCGGATTCGTACCTTTAGGTTAAAAAAGTACTTCAATGAGAATAAAATTCAAATATGAAGCTCAGTGTTTTTTTTACGTTCAAATCAACCCATTTTAAATAATCTACAATTGGTTTATGTTCAATATTTTATATTTTATTATGTGCATTAAGAACACATTCCGTCCAATTTAGGTGAGACCATTCAGTCAATATTCTTAAAAACATGTTGTATCTCGTATTAGATTGTAGTGTTTTCCCGGTTTTCTTCTATTGTTTTAAAGGTATACTACCTCTTAGAATGACCAAAAATTTGAAATTTTTAAACTTGGTTAAAATGAGTCTTCGTTCATCAGTGGACCTGGTGTTATAACTATACATCTGAATCCCTCTATAATCTAATAAATCCATAAAACTTCAGTAATTTTGAAAAACGCTTATAAGCTGTTTTCAATAATTACCAAGTTTAATGGATATATCGTCTCTATTCTTTAGTTATGACATCTGGTAAGTCCAACTGATGAATATAAATTTTATGTCCGAGGTGGTATTCCTTTAAAGGTATACCTCGCAGTATTTTATCTATTAGCGTCTTTCAAATATTTTTGAGCATTTTGTTACGAACAAATTATATTCTTGAAGGTTTTTATGTAGACAAATGTTTGTGGGAATCTAGCTTTAACACTGAGATTTTTGACGATATCCTATGATATCCGAACTTACTTCTTAACATAGTTTTCCACATCATTAAAGCTGACATGCAACTACAAAAAAAGAAATCTTCAAGTTTTTAATTTTTTTTATGTTAACTCAAGACTATTGTTAGATGTTCATTTTTAATATATAAAAAAAGAAACTGTAATATTATGGCATAGTGTAAATTATTAAAGCTGTCATGCAATTACAGCTTTTTTTTATATTATTTATGGAAAACCCAAAACTAGTTCTTTTATGAATTTTAAAATGTAAACTATCAAGCTGTTATATTATGGCATAGTGTAACTTATTAAAGCTGTCATGCAATTACAGCTTTTTTTTTAAATATTATTTATGGAAAACCCAAAACTAGTTCTTTAAATAGTTTTAATATAAAAACCATCAAGCTGTGATATTATGATAAACATGTACAATATTAAAGCTGACATGCAATTACAAATTGTTTAGAGATTATTTCTGTAAAACTCAACTTTAAAACGTTCAATTTTCATTTATTACCCTAGTAATTATTAAAGATGACATGCTATTACAAATTGTTTTTAGATTATTTATATAAAACTCAACTTTTGATGTTCAACTTTCATAAACTGTGATATTATAATATACATTAAAGCTGACATGCAAATACGAGAAAATTATTCAAAAAAGTTGTTAACGTTGATCTTTATTGATTTGAGCTTGATTTAAGCTCAGAATGGGTAATCAGCATTGAAAGACTGTGATTTATTTATGTTTAATCTTATGTTTGTTGCAATGAAATAAATTTTACTTATGTCTTGTGTTTTCTTATGGCCAATCGATAATCAGCATTTCAAAAAAAAAACCTACATGGAAACAAGAATTTGCCTGGAACGTATGTTTACCAAAAGCTCAGATAGTCAACAAACATATTACAAGTTTTAAAACAAAAAGCTAAGAATACGAGCATGATAATACAATTGATTAAAGGGACAGTTGCGCCATTATGGGGAGTTGATTTGTGTCTTGAATATACGTAAATAGTCGAGTACGAGGATAGTAAAATTTCTTCAAAAATACCTTAACTTCTATATGTGTCTTTTCTTTAGTCAGAGTCTCAAGAAAAGACGAGTCGTCTTTTTAATATTCAAACGTGGACACAAATGTATTTGAGAACCCAAATTTTGACGGTGAGCTGTGAACACTATTACTGATAAGCTTAGCTAAAACATTCCCGTTTCTGAGACTAAGGTATGATTGGTCAAACGGATGGCAAACCTGTCCCTCTACAACGAAATAAGAAAATTGAAAACCTAGGAAAATGTTACAAAACAAAACAAAATAGTAATACATATACACATACATGATAAAAACAAATAAATTAAAAACAAAATCAATTTATCTACAATCATAAAAACAAAACAAAAATACAGTAGCTTCTACAATCTAATCAAAATACAGGCCCCGTATTCTCGAAACGTTCTTATCTTCTATCATTGATTCTAGCGCTAAGATCGTTTCGAGAATATGGGGCCTGGATATTAAGTTTCGTTTTCGTAAATTATATCCCTTGAATTTTAAAGAACCAAAAAAAAAAAAAAAAAAAAGGAAAAAAAAAAAAAAGGAAAAAAAAAACAAAACGAAAAAAAATTGTAGAAAGATTTGAAAAGTGTTTTTCATCAAATGTTTAGAGTTTTTTTGATGTGGTTGATTGTAAATTGGTGAGATTTAAAGGAACCGCCAAGCACTATTCCTTGTTATTCTATATTCGGTTATGTCATTTATTCCATAAATGTTATTGTAAGTTCTAATCCTGGTCAGCTACCGAATAAAGAATAAGGCTCGACTTTTATTTCAAATAGGTTTTTTTTTCACATTGCATCGAAATCGTTACACATTGGATTTTTATAAGTTGACGTAGCCCCTTTATATATGGGATTTGATTCCTGCAAAAAGAAATATTCATTATTATGTTTGTATCACATGAGGCCGTTCGCGATTACTGACGTCATCAATCAATTTTATTGGTATTGCAGGAACCACAGTCGTCTGACTGGTAATTGTTAAGCTGCATATTGATCCTATACGCATACTAAATTTAGACACTTACCTGGGCCCATCTGACCTGATCTACTTCCTGTTGAAATTTAGCATATTCTCTGTTATCATAAACAGAGGTAAGTATCTTCCACAATGCTAACAGGAATATTCCCAGACCAACAATTCCACCCAGTACTCCGGCTATAATCGGCACCATGTCAATCTGTGTTGAACATACTGGTAATCGAAAGCATTAAAGAATTAATCGAAACCTATTACAAGCTTATCTTTAAAATTAGACCAAACGTTCAACAGGGCTGTCGTTAGACCCAACTAAAGTGACTATATTTAAAATAAAAACTAATAAAAAAAAAACAGTCTTATTTTGATTCAGTATTAAAAATCCGAACAAGAAAGACAAATCTGTCAATCAAAAATTTCGTCCAAAGAATGGCAAAATCGAGAGTACAAGTTGTATAGTAGTGGACTGCTTAAAAGAGAAGCATCATCAGGTGTTTCGAAAACAGTAAGCGTGGTCTGATCAGTATAGTATATAGTGCCCCTTTACCTTATCCCAGAGTTTAAACGAAAAAGTATCTCGCAGTTAATTTCAAGAACGCCAAAACTATTTAAAACGTTTACGTAAATGGTTACCTTTATATTTCTGCGCCAAGATGGTTGTATTACCATCATCTAAATATACGATTTTATAAATCATCTTACATCCATCTATATCTTTAGCTTGACAGGTCTCGTTCAAATCCTCTGAAACACAAGTTTTACCTTTAGTCACTGGAATATTACCGAAGATTTGGTACTTTTGCCATAACAGTGTTTCACTTTTGCCTAATCCCAAAATCAACATTGTATCAATATGGGGTAATCCATCTTTATATATACATCTATAGCCTTGGGAGCTCAGTCTTTATTTGTTTGGTGATTAGAAGCAGCGACTCCAATACCAAACAGGCTACCAAGGCCCCCGGAGCCCAGAAATAACATTAATTACAGACTGAGAATCTTAAAACCTTCCTTAACATGCATTAAATTGACTTAGAAAGGAGTCCAGAATACAGGAGACCGGGAAGGGGCTCCCAACAACTTAAGTCGGCGGGCTCCCATGTAGTTCAGCCACTGATTAGAGTCTGTAAAATCTATCCCTTCTCATGATTCCACTTCCAACACTTTCGAGATCAGAACTGGTACAAGCTCCCCATCTGTCAACTCACTCACCGATAGATTCTACAATTTCGACCACAGGGCACTGTTCAATACATTCGTCTTGTGTGAGTTCACCTTCATTAAATACAATACATTCTACACAATCTCTGTTATCTTCACAGGCCCCTGGACAAGTCTAATTAAATACAAAGTCAAAATGGTTATAACATCATAGGGAACGGATCAATCCATATGTTTTAGGGAAGTAGACCAGGCCGTTAGCTTAAGCCCCCCCCCCCCCCCCCCATCTCTCTCCAAACTGCCAGTATGCTTATTACGTAACAATTTTGTAGGAGTCCCAAAATTTGAGTAAAATTACTTACTGGACAATTCTGACAAGTCGAACCAATATAAAGAGCATCACAAATACATTTACCACATTTACACGTTCCTTTTCCATTACATATCGTCTAAAAAGGAATATCAACGTACATCGTCATGCCAAAACAATGTACTAGCAAGGAATGGAATTTTAAAAGGGAATGGGGCTTTAATTCCACCGGTTCATTGCCATACTACCGCCAATTTTTTTTTTGGTGCTTAAATACCCTAGAACGGGCAATCAATTCTTACAAAGCACTATTTCTATACTTTCCAAATTCAATTAGAGGAAAATGACCATAGAAATTGTTCAAAAAAAGGTAAAAACATAAATTATATGAAATTCCCCACTTACTCCATCTTGAGCTAGACAGGCATCGGTACTGGTAGGACAGTCACATTTACTTCCGGTGTATTCCTCATTACAGACACATGTCTCGCAGACACATCTTCCTCTTTCAGCTCCTGAAAGAATCGTCAGTTGGAACTTTCAATATAAAATCAAAATCTGACGACACTGACAAAAACAGCGTGGCGCAAAGAATAAAAAACTAAAACAGAAGGTCGATTGTAGTGATGGGTATCGTTAATCATGCCACGATACGATACGGATCGCGGTACAAGGGTCGCGATGCGATATATATATCGCGATATGGGGTAATGGGATATAGATTAACATTTTATCTTCAAAATTTCTATATTTATTAATTCATAACTTTATAACTGTGATATTTGGTAACATAGTTGATAGAAGTGGTTAGAGTCCACTGTCTTATAAAAAGTTTCTAACAATTTCGGTGAAAAAAATTGTTATATCATAAACCAACTTAAAAAATTCTCCACTTTTTCTTGAATAAAAGGTATCGATACACGACGTAGCGATACGATACGCGTATCGTGGCATGTCGTATCGCGATACATCGATATATCGCGCCAGCACTAGTTGGCGGACCTTCAAAGACGGACAATGGTCAGATCTGAATGATAGGTTATTCTACATCGGAGTGCAAATTTTCAATTCCATTACAAGGCGTCACTTCCGGTTCGGTTTAACTGTGCCTCTAAGCCGGAAAGCTGAATAGTTTAAAGTGAACAAACCTCCGCATATTTGACCATCAAGTTTCTCACAGGCATTCGTATCACATTCACAATATCTACCAGTGTAGCCTAATTCACAGGAGCATAAACCACATTTACATTCACCACGTCCCATACATTTTACTGTGGTTTTATTGCTGAAAGGAGCAAACAAGTTATCTTTTAGTTACGATTTGGGAGAATTAAGGTGCGGGCACACGAACGGTCTTGTTCAGAGATTTTTGTCGCCGACAAGAGTTTGGCAAGAGTTTCACCGACTCTCTCCAATTGGTCGTTTTCCACCATGTCGATAATGAATCTGATTGGATGATGACGGTCTGTTTTGCAGACGATAAAACTATCGGAGATAATTATCAAACTTGTTACATTATAAATCTTGTCAGGGAAGTACGGCACACTCAAGACTCTAATCGGTGACAAAAATCTCCGACTAAGACTGCTCGTGTGCATCTTTAGTCTTCATATTCCCGGATTCTGCTATGCCCTTTGACTTCCAGGCTACCACTCTGCAATTGGGTTCCATAACATAATTCTAAGTTGTGACAAAACCCCTCGACAATCTTTTAAAGTTAAGGTCGAATGAAATTATGAAAACTCAAAATACCACCAATGTTAACCTAACCACGAAAATGAGATCACAAGTGTTCATGCTCAATGACAGTCTGATCTACATTCCTCCCTCCATGTGTAGGGTACATACCTTACGCACGGATCCACGTTTCTGCCTTCTATAACATCAATTTCTGAGCATTGACATCTATCTCCCTCTCGACCAACATCACAATTACATATTCCACATTCGAAAGTTCCATATGTGCTACATCGAGGACTGCTTGGCTCCTGGAAAAACAGCAGACAATTCCGTAGTTAGGCAGATCGGGTCTTCTTCTGTGAACTTCTGAGGACATAACCTTTCATGCTGGCAAGCAGGAATTTGATAGCAGACGAACTTGATTAGAAAAATAAACCTCGGAATGTGTGATTCGAATGCATATGGTTACGTGGTCCCGAAAACTTCACGCCAGCAATTTTCAGCGTCTAATTCGCGGCGGCCATAGTGGCTCAGAGATCTCGGCTGTTACTTGATGGGCATACAGACATAGGCATTATGCAGAAGAAACGATCTTTAACTTACGGAAAAACCACACACGCAGTCACAATCTGATTCTAACTGAATAGTAAACTGATCTGATAAACCTATGGCCGTGATGTTGATAGTACGATTTCGATCGTCTGGCTTCTCAGGACACTTGGTACTGTACACTTGTACTTCCAACTTTATCTTCAAAGCAAAACGAATAATTTCTTCTCAGAGAAAATGAAATATAATAGAGTTCTATGTTCTTGTATTCTTTTGAAAGGAGGGGGGGGGGGGGGGGGTTGCTAATGAGAGTGGACAAAACTGTCCTGTGTGTTATAGCTTAATTTGAGACTGCCCTATTACGATTTCAACAAGACGTTCTACAGTCTGTAGTATACTGAATCACACTAACGTAACGAAGACGATAAACAACGCCAATCATTATGCGATGAGGGAAATTTTGCCGAATGTTTACCATATCAAGATTGTTTTACCTCTTTTCCTATACTAAGGCCTTTACATTCTGTCGTTTCTTTCATTTTTTCACTGGAAAAAAATGAAATTCCAAAATTTTGAAATGAAATTTTAATCCTTTACTTTCCACATCATCTAAAGATAAGAAACTCAGGTCACAATGTAGTGAGCAGTGAGGGAAATTTATGAAATTTTCCCATGGTTTTTTTTAACACAGTCACAATTATGGACATTTTCCATGGTTTCATTTTTGGGATTATTCCGTTTCTATGCTAACCCTTGATTATGTCAGTCGATTGTAGTTTTAGATATATAATACGAACTGACGTATACACACAGCTTACCTGTTACAATTAGAGAATATTTTTACCACTGTGTTATTTGGGGCGTCGATTTTAAATTTTACCTCCGATATGATAGCCTGAAATACCAATGTGTAATAAAGTAGGTCAATGGTGACTATGCACGTGCAGGGACTATTCATTTAAATAAGAGCTAACATCCAAAAAGTGGCTTGATCTTATCATACGACTCTACAGTTTAAAAATTAGGAAGATATTTCTTAAACCAGCCAGACTTGATGCTGATATCAAGTGACGTTAAGAATGGCTACGTCCGACATTGTGTACCATTCATGTGCTCTACGGCAAAATTCCGCTGAGTAATATTCGCTCTTAAAACATTCGTGTGCCCTTTCGTGATCGGGTGTTTAAATTCGCAATTCTAATCGATGTGATCAGATGAAAAAAATCGCTAGCCTGTCCCCAGCATTACTCTACCCTACCCGAAATCTGTCAAAAATAGCTTAAAGAGACATAGTTAGGGTCATCAAGTTTTGGGACAAAATTTCTAGATATTTTAACGTATCTTACCTCATACGTTGTTCTGACAATGTCCACGACATTTGAGGAATCCCCTTCTAAAACCCCAACGTACGAATCCAGAATATTTTTACTTAGTTGTTGGTAGTCTTCCTCTACGCTTTTCACAATGGCGAATATCAAATTGACATTTTTCTCCGACACTTTTTGCGATATCTGACCGATTGACGGATAATCCTGAAACGGAAATCCATAATCCAAATAAGGTGGATGGAATCTTGATCTACAAAAACTAAACCGGAAGTAAACCACAACATAAATCAAAGCGAGAGTCAATATTACAGATAGTGAACTGTAATCTCCGATCAAACCGGAAGTGATTCTTAATGGGGAAACTAAGGCGGAAGTTAATTTGAGCGGTTTCTTTTTTTTCCATGAATCATTTTTGTGAACCCTCCGAAAGGGTGTTTTATGGGGCGAGCTTTGTTTGCGACATCCGGCATCTGAGAAGAAAACCCAAATTTCTGACCTGTCTTATATCTTCTGTGTTTGTTCCATTCACTAAATGACATTTTCCGTCGTTCGGTAGCACGATGCCTGCAAGCTGGAATAGAGTAAAACTGATCTGACTTCAAAGTGGTATAGATAAGATTCAAGTATTTCGAGTTACAGGTGAATCGTTGCTCACATAGTGACAGACCAAACTGACAAAAGCTCATCTCTTGCTGTTAAGACACGATCCTCATCAGGATGGCTAATGTTGGAAATGGGGTCGATTTTCCAATATACATGTACATGTAGAACAAGGAAATCGCCCTCACTGAACAGGAGCAAGTAAAATTTCACAAGCCGAAAAAATTTCAATCAGCTAATAAGATAAACATGAAATAAGCTCTGAATCATACATGACGTATAGCCATGACTGTGGTATGATGCCGTTGGTTCTGCGAGAAAAAACAAAAATATGCGACATACCCTTCCGTCTCCGGCAAAATGAAACGTATTGTCAGACGCATATATAATAAGACGTCGTGCTTGCTCTCTCCATCCAATCTCATTCTGAAAA